GCTAAATTTGAATATACTGCGCCCTCTACTACAATTTATATACACTAGCATTGGCAATTCTAGGGGAAAGTAAGGCTTGACAGGAAAGATAGCTTAAAACTTAAAATAAATGTTAGTTAAAATAAATATAAACCCTACAACCCAAAACATTTTCAATAATATTTTTCAAAATGAACAGATTTTAAAAAAGATGTTTAATAGTATGCGTTATAGGAAAATAAAGTCGTTTCGCTAATATTTAGTAATTGATAATAGCAAACAAATTTGTAGCACACAAGTATCCGAAAACAAATGTCAAGATTTTGAAAATTTACCAAAAATAAATAAATTAATAAAATTTGAATAAGTATTATTTAATGCAAAGTCTCTTCATCTGTAACGCAAAAATGAAATTTCAATTATTTACATTTATTTCACTTTCACATCTTTTGTTTTGTTAGTAGGTCAAAGATGTCACCACATTTTCATCAGTAAGATACTTATGTTGCCCTTGTTAAACAAAGAGTTGAAAATTTCAATTGACAGAAAGCAACAGTGTGCTCCAGTTTTCCCCGCCAAGTCTTTTTACAACTTGAAAACGAAAGTAGGAAATGATGGTAGAGGAGATGAATAATGTAATGATTAGGAAAAAAAAGTTTTTGTATTTCTCAAGGCCCTGTTAAAAAAAAAAAATTTAAGGGAAAGTGAATAAGATTATATCACAAAACCCCAAATTTTAGGAAACGAGAAATTCTTTGACAGATAACTTACATGAAAGTTAAGAATGCTTTACGTGATGAAAATTCGAGAATTATAGATTATTGATTTCTGGATAATGAAGCACAATACGTTATTTAAATCCTTTAGTAATTAATTTTTAAAATATAAAAGATTCGTTATTAACTGATGGTTGATTGCGAAATATAAATTCATAACACGGAAAAAATATATTTATGTGTCAAGTGTATTTTTTTTTTTTTTTTTTTTTTGGTAAAGTTTGGAGCACTATGACATATAAACTTATTGTTTATACTATCTAGCAAATCTTTACTTGAATTTTAAGCCCAGAAAATGTATGTATGAATAGTGATCTGATCCGGAAAATGTATTTATTGATAGTGAAGTTGACCCAAATAACTGAGCACTATTTTATTTTCTCGTATTTTGTATCTCTGTTAGATAAAGAAGAGAAAAAGAATTAGCTAAGATATCTAAAAAATCAAATTATCTAATATAATTTCCATATCCCGCTGTGAAATTAGAGGATACTTATCACTTATGAGGAGGAGATGCATGACTTATATTATTATTTATATAAAGACCGTAGACATTATCATTTCATATAAAGAATTATGAATTGCTAATTTATATAAAGATTATAAATTTACATATACGAACAATGAATTTATATACAGATCATAGATAACTCAGAGCCACTTAAACCGTTTTCGCGGATGTAATGATAACTTTATGCAAACCTGGTAGATTAATGCCTTTTGCTTAAGTATTTTCAATAGTTTCCTTGAAAACTGTAAAGATACTGAGATACACATAATATTCCTAATAGGCAAACAAAAGGGTCTTTGGCCCAAACATGTGCTGAGATTATTTAACGTTCCATAAAATATCACTTTAAGGTTAATTTTGCGAGTACTGTGTTTTTATAGTTAAGTAATTTACGAGTACAATTATCAAGTTACTTCCCTTTCTAATCCTTATGAAAAAGAAAAAAAAAAAAAAAAAAGTGAATAATTTTATTATATAAATTCAAAGTAAAAATTATTTACAAATTAGGTTGTGCATTTTTTTTTCCTTTTCATGTTATCTACTATAAATGGATTTTTTTTTCAAACCGGGACATTACATAACTGCAGTGCCATTATATAAATACCATATGACAATATATAACTACCATGATATTATTATTAACTACAACGGCATCAAATACCTATAGTTATATAACTAATAACATACAGATTATTTAAAATCCCATAAAAGCAACTTATAGATTTAATAGATTAAATTAGATCTGAAATTTACTTTGTGTTTGGATTTTGAAGCGAGATCATTATATAATTACATGAACATCAATGAATTTAATTTTAAAATACATTGGAAGATGTTAAATGTTTGCAGAATATAATTTCCTAACTTGATGTTTGTGTTAATTTTCCAACTGTCAGCTAAAATAGTAGTAGATACACAAGTACCTAAAAAGCTCTACCTAACTCTGAATTAAATAATTGCAATAACGTTTACAACTAAAGCTGTAAACACTTTGGTCCCAAAATATAAAATGTTTAGTATGATAACGGAAGAAACATCACCGTTAAAACTCACGATGTAAAATATCCCTTAAAATCAGCTCACCAGGATTTAGCAGAACTAACGGAGTCGGTTCTATGTGCGATTAGCTCCACTATGCGTGAAGCTCAGATTTTCCAATCGAAGAAAAACATCCCCTCCCCGCCGTGAAGCTATATTGGCTGCATGAGCTGTCTCCGTAACTCAGATAAATCTCAATGAGAACAGCCCTTTACGCAACAACATTTATTGGCAATGATAACCGTTGAAAACTAGATATTGGGAACTATATCATCATATGCCAAGGAAATAAAATGGTTGAAATGTTTCTAAATAATTGTCTCTACACTCTGCGAGCCGTATCACACTTAGAAACTTTTGTAACAGCCTAACTCTGCAACAAGCACAAGGAATAAAACTTTTGATGCTAGGTTGCAAATCGATTATAAGTAGCCAAGTTCCTGAGAATTCGCTTTTTTCGATCCTATATGGCGGCTTACCAGCGGCCGAGCGGTAAAGTCCCTGAACACTGGTAGTTCGGTCCGAGGCTCGAATTCCGCAAACGGCCTGTCTGCATGAACGTTTTCATGGTTTTCCCCATGTGTAATATGTATACGAGCCAGTTCCCCTCAGAACTTCTCCACGATGGCATCCCTTCCCTTAGGCAGATAGCCGTCGAGGCTTTGCCATTGATCATATAAACCGATCCCATATGGTGAAATTACAGTTATACGTACCATTTTTTTTTATCCCCAGATAAAAAGTGTTTCTAGTACTATGTCACTCAGAAGTTACTAATTATGACAGGAAATGTACAGGATAGTGGAGCTCTCTAAAAATAACGAATAACATGCCTCCCACGTTCAGTAATAGAACGGAAGCTTTTATCTAGCTTCACCGAGAAGTAAAGCATGACAAGTTATCAGCTGATTTCAAAAATCATGACAATATGGCGAAAAATTCTTGTTAAATAGATTTTACACAACTTCATGAAAGATGTATTCAAGTCAAGTGACATGAGATATGCATACTATTTAAAGTACTTATACAAAGAAGAGTTTCCCAGGGATATGAGTATGTTAAATTGGTTACATGAAAATTCCAACCGTTCTCTCTGCACACGAATGTTCACTTTCAGTATTGGGTGAGTTTCATCTTAATTTCACGTGAACTTAAGATGGTGTGCGCCCAGGATCACCATGAACAGAGACCTCGTTAGGGTTACGACTGCGAAATTTAGGTAAATTTATCAAGTTAACAAGCTACTTTTTGTGTACTTATTTTCTTGAATCTTTATAAATGTTGACAAGTATTTTCAGTCAAAAATTTAGCTTGTTTATTTATTCTATGCGTCTATTTTTCCTCTTCTTTTATAAATAGATGAAATAGTGCTGAATACTGCTACGTAAAAGAAAAATTTAATAAAGAAAGAAAGAAAAGAGGTTGCCTTAATTAAATAAAGAGGAAAAAAGGTTAATTATTCTCAAATTTTGTGCCATTTGGAAAGTTTTCGTAATTTATTTATTTTTTGTTTAAGTTAAATATTATTTATTGGTTAATTCAACATATTAGAATTATTTGAAATAAATCTCAGTCTGAACGTTTAATATTTAGCTGTTAATACATTTGAATTACAAAGTGTTAATAATTTCGAGGAAGAAAATTCTTTACTGGAAAGATTCATATTCCCCTTTAGATTTCAAAAAATAAATAAATATAAATTCACAAAATAAATATAAATGTGAAGTTTTTCCTTCGCTTCAAGATTGTTACTGTTACTTCTGTTTATGTACGTTTTGACGAATATTTAGTAGGAAAAATTAGAAATTTAGTTAAAAAAACTGATTTTGTAAAAAATAATTGCGGTTCAGATTATTTACTCGGCCCGTATGAAATTTGAGTTTGAGATATCTGCCCTAATTCATTCCTGAAAACTTTTGGGTTTTTTTTCCCTGAGTAATATTAGAACAGCAGCCTCTGAAATTTCGATTTTCTGGTTTGACTCAAAACTGAAACTGCAAATAGAATTTTTTTTTTTTTTTTATTTATTTATTTTTTTTTTAATTTTTTATTTAGAAACAGACTCTTTAACTGAATTACTGAAGAGATCGCTTTGTTTTCTTATTCACAACAGGTCTTCCAAAACGTTTAATAACTTTGAATAGTTTGTTTACATAAATATGCATTTATATAGAGAGCTTTTTCAAAATTCTACTTTCTCAACACATTAAGGGAAAACCTTACCCATCTCTTCAAAGGGTTACACAAGAGTCGCACAGAGATGTCTCCAAGTAGCTTTTTGGGGTTTACGTCCACCATCAAATTCCTGGCAGATAATTTTTTCCCTATCGTAGATACGTTATGGACCACACCTTAACAACCTTCGCATTAATAAATTCTTTACTTTAGGGTCAGTTCCTGCAAAGAATGTACTGCAACGAAGGTGTTCTGTTCAATGGATCCACGCGAAGAATGAGAAATTATCGCAAAGATAAGCGACCTTAATGATCTTCAGTGTTTCCGTCAACAATAGCGGTGCAAACGGGGGATAAGGCGGGGTTCACCTTCAGAAAAAAAGAAGAAAAGAATAAAAAGAAATTGGCTATTCTGCCTGCAGGGCATATTCGGCGTGGCCTTACGTCTAAGTGTCAGATAAACTGGAGCGATGGAGAAAGTCCCAAAATGAAGTGTACTTGACCTAGATCAAAAACACCTCCGTGTTGTATGTGTTAAACACTTTTGCTGTCTTTGCAAGAATTTGGATTCAATGTCGGATATATAAGGCGATCCTATTTCCGATTGGAACATAAGCTTTTCTTGTTAACTCGTAGATCAGAAGACCTACAGCTCAATCGAAGATGTTTCACTTGGTAAGTTCTATAATATATTATGCTTTATATAGATGTCATAGTATGACAATAATTTTCAGAGAATTATTTTTATACTCCCCTTAGAAAGGAAATATTTATCTTCTTATATTTATGATACAGCTTCATCTTCTCAGCGAGCAACGTTTCTCAAACTTTTTTCAAGTGCAGATCACTTTACAAATTAGTCTTTTCTACGATCATAATTTTTTATCATACGCTACTATCAGTATACTTATATTTTTAAAGCAAAATAAATTAAAATGCATTAAATTTTATGTTAAAGAAATAAAAGAAAATTTTAATTTGTTTTTAATAATTCAAGGCTGTAAAAGTTTGGATGATCTTTATCTTATTAACTAAAAATGAATTAAATATTATTGATACTTACATATAATACTTAATGAGATGTATGAGCCTGCCGATTCTACAGCTGGTACAGCTGTTCTATATTTGGAAGTATCCTGGTGAGAAGCACTATAGTTATAGATCTTTAAATCCCTCTTTTGTTGCTAAGGCTAGAGTGGCAAGCCCGTGAGAAGGGTAACTAAACCTTAAATTGCGTCTACTTCTCAGTCTCTGAGGTAAACCGTAATTTTAGCAGAGCGCACAGTAGCCCTAAATAAAAGAACGTCAGTACTTCTTTTATGTAAGTGAAATACAGTTTCAGCAGACAAATTTTATTTTAAAAATAAACAGACCTTTAAAACAGATTACAACGAATTCATGCCTATCTTTCTCTGGACAACAGACATTTTGACGGAGATTAAAACCTTTAAAGAAAGAAAAGCACCATTCACATGTCAAAGGCTTATTCTCCAGGTAGTGCAATAAATTTATGAAAGCGACGAATAAAATGTTTTCTTAAAGTATTAACAGTGATTACCTTGGTATTCTACGTCCAGTGCTGCAGAGTTCCTGCAGACTTTTTTAACTTATGCAGACACATTTATTCTCATGTTGTCATCGGATCGGATTTGGGAAAAGTTTTTTGCCCAGTCACATTCCGCTTGACAGCTAGAATTATATTGGCACAACATCTCGGTCAGAAAGCACTGGACTCTTTTCTCTTTGTTTTCGAAGCTACAATTTTCCATTAAAATTTCTTTCCATACTCTCATATTTTTTCTAGTACTCTCTCTATTTTCAGTAGCGAAGCTTTTTTCGTTTTACTTTTTTCTACTGGTGCCTTGGAAAGGAGTTGTATTATCCTCTCCCCATTTAAATAGTAATTAATAATTAAATAATCTCCCCATAAAATTTTTAAATACTGTATATTTTAGGGTTTAAATTCAGCTGGAGGTCTGGCTGAGCTATTTCTTAGTTTTTGTATGAAACTGTTAAGTCCATTTGGAGCACCAAATAAAATGAGGTTCGATATTTTATTTCTTTTATTTAATTATTTACCATTCATTTAATAATTTACTGAATTTTTATTTATATCTTTATTGTACTTTAATTTTAATTTAATTATTTTAATTATTTGTTGCTTTATTTATTTATTTCCCCACTTCTTGCTGAGGACCTTCCAAAAGGGTTTCGGCACTTCTGATTTTAGAAATTAAGCTCTGAGGGTAACTGGTCATAAAATATCCGTCTTGGGATAAAAAGTGATAGACGATTGCCATGCGTAATTTCAAGATTCTCAGATGTTTAGCTGAGATACGGTATAAGCATTTAATAGGAGTTTTATTTTTGGTCTTTTTGGAAATCTAGGAGGACTATAGTTTGAGGAAAGCTGCTATAAAGCATCACTCAAAGTAATGGATTTAAAAAAATAATGATTAAAAAGAAGCTAGCTCGGAATACTGATGTTACTCCTAATATTACTTATGCGCTACTAAAGGAAATTTATTTTCTAAGTAACTAACAGCTGAAAGTTCTAAACACAACGGTTCGAAAAAATTTTAATGAACAGTTAAGAACGTCAGTCAAACAGTATCTTGTAATTTTTTAGCATTAAACAATTTCATTATTAAATAACGAAAATCAGTTAAATGAAAGTTGCTACTTTTAAAAATTACTCCCCATCAGAGCAGAATATTTGTAAATATTTGTAAATTTTTGTATTAATTCCAATTACACAACAAAATGCTTAAGTATTATACATTATACACACCGCATCACGTCCATCTATGAGCTATGAAAATTCGTCAAGAACGTGATGCTACATTCTTATTATATTGCAATATCATTTTTTTCAGACAGAATCAAATGTGACTTTGATTTCATACAAAATCATTATCTTTGCACACGAGCGCAAAATATAAATCTGTTCTTATCTGTCTATTATATAATAGTCTCTGTTTTAGCTATCATTTTCAGTTTTAAATTTAAAGAGCTATTATGAATTTTAATGTCATGTATGAATTTTAATGTCTCTTATTTGCATATAAGCTAATTCTTTTATTTATATTCAGTTACAGTTGTCAAGATGAGTTCTTAATTGGGAAACACTCGTGTTACTCGACATACTAATCTTGCGATAAAATCATTATTACAGTAAATTTTCTTGTATGTACTTGTTCGATAATTAAAAAAAAAAAAAAATTCCTGAAATGAGTAGCAATACAGTTATATATCTCTGCAATAACTCTTGATCTAATTCCATAAATTAAGATTATCTAATTTTATGAATATGGATGAATTAAAGGATTTAGAAACGTATGTAATGATTTAGAATACAAGCAAGCAACTAATAGATTACATTCATAACCCGCAATCAGCTTTAAAATATTAATGTATAAACTACAGACAGATTGATGCAGAAAATTTCTATACCATAGTGCTAAATGATTCTATGATTCTTAAGCTTTTTGTTAGTAAGTGCTAAGGTCCGCAGATGCATCGTAGAAGTTGAGAATTAATAGAGAAAACCGGGGAATTCAGAAGTAAAAGAAGTTGATGAGAAACAAATAAGGATTACTGTATTTTTTCCCATAAAGCTCTTAAAAATGGAACATCAATATTTAATAAAAATGTTATTACAGTAAAATTCCACAAGTTTCTGCATCTACAGCTGCCTGTTATAAAATAAGAATGCAATTGCAAAGTATTCTTCAAATTTGTTTTTTTTGGGGGGGGACGGGATTGACTTACATCGCTCTTTGCGTACTATGCAGTTTAAATTCCAATTTTTGTTTATTAGATTTGTTCCCAATTTTTGTTTATTAGATGTTTTATCTTATTTTAATTATTTTTATTTCTCAGCATATATTTATTTTTATTTTTAATATATATAAAAATTAGAAAAATTACCAAAAAATAACTCTTTTTGGAATCACGATAAACTTCATGTTTGAGATCCAAAGTTATTCAAATTTGAGATCATGCACTTTCAGATAGAATCTTGAGCTTTTTAAATAATAAAATCTTTGCATTTTTAATAACCATCAGATGCTTTTATAACAATAGTGGAGTTTTCGGTGTGCCATGAATTTAAACAAAAGGAGAGTTCAAATGGGTAGCATAATGTATTTTATGAAATGTTTTTAAAAAAATTCTTAGAATTCTAAGATTAAATTCTAAGATAAATTTAAGTCATATTTATTTCCTTCTGTTAGAAAAATTCAGAAAAGATTTTTAGTCTATAATTATTACAGTTAGTAAATGCACATAAATTAGACACAGAAAATCTGAAAAGCTTACTGTAATAAAATTCTAGAAATGTCTATTCTATTATTAACTCCAGCTTGTTTTAAAAATTTATTGATTCTAGCAAGTTAAACTGAAAATTTCCGATTTTTTTTTTTTTTTTTTTTTTTTTTTACCTTATGTACTAAATAAAGGAAGAAAGAACAATGACACACTACTATCAATTTTTGTACGACAACAACCATTTGAAATATGGATAATAAAATGAACTTAAAAATAAAAATGCAGGAAAATTAAATTATGGAATAGAAGCTAAATTTTGATATGCTTATCTTATTTGATACTAGTTTTGATTTCCTTGTTCTAAGTATTAATTGAGTATGTTTATAGGAATGCAACAAATTATTATCTTACGCAGCTTTTTATTTGTTGCAGAATCATGGACTTGAAGGGAAATTTAGAAGATGAAACAGTAGTTAAAATAATATAATACAATTATCTCCTTCTTTCGCAGGCAACCGTACTGCTTCTTGCTGCTGCTTGCACAGCCGCCCCTTCAGTATATCTCGGACACAGAGCCATAGTAGGACCCGCAGTGAAAGGACATGCCTATTCCAGTGAAATCCACCATGGAGCTTCCATTGTTCCCGCAGCTCATGCCATCGCACCTGTGGTCCACCACTCTGTTGTTCATGCTGCACCACTTGCCCACCAGGCTGTAGTTGCACCAGCTTTGCACCATGGAGGACACTCTGTATCTTACTCCTCCAAGATACACCACGCTGCTCCTGCTGCCATTGTCCATCATGCTGCTCCTGCTGCCGTTGTCCATCACGCTGCTCCTGCTGCTGTTGTCCATCATGCAGCTCCAGTTTTGGGACACCACGCTGGAGTAATTCATCATTCAGCTGCTATCGCTCACCATGGTGCCCTTCTCCACCACGCTCCAGCTGTTGCCAAAATCAGCCATGTAGCTCCAGTACACGCAGCTGTCCTTGCTGCTCCCGCCCACCATGTCGCTGTGAACTACAAAGGCAGCGCCTTGATTCATTAAAAGCATCAACAACTACCTGTAAAATCGAAGACAGCTGAATCGGAATGTCTACCTCAATGATATGTTTTAAAAGTTCTTAGTTCATTCAATGAAATAAACTTTTAACTTATATTTATATCTTTGTTTCTGTGTTGAACTTGTAAGTGAAACTGGCGCACATTTTTACGGAAAATTCTTAAATAATTTCCTGTTAAATAATAATGTCTCTGGCTCACATAAGAAGCAAAAATGTATAACACAGGAAAAATGTAAGAATAAAACATCTTAGAAATAATTATTGTCAAATATAAGGAATTATTTGCCTTACAGTATTAGGAAATTAAACATGTTCTCTAATAACCAACGTGACTCATATTTCGTAGTATTTAAAATGATAAATAACTTTTTTAAATTAATTCGCAATTATAAGAAACAAACAAAAATTAAAATACAAAAGATGTTCTAGAACAAATCTTCTAAGAAAAGCTTTTAGAAAAAAGTATGGTATAAGAAAATTATTTAGATACAAGTAGGCGAAAGTCCTTCCTAGTGTTATGAGTAAAAGGAATGAGGAGAAAATTTTCTTTACAAACACCACATATGTAAGGTGCAACTTTAAATTTCGTTTATAGTCTATTATTCATTTGACATTAAATTTTAGATTTGTGAAAAATGAATTATTATTATCTCTGATATTAATAATAAAGAATCTGTATGTGTGTATGCATGTATGTATGTTCCTCGGATTTTAGAAAATTGCCGTGATGCGCAGAGCCACCAAATCAACAGATATAGTCCTTCGCCATGATATACCTCGGGTCAGTCCATAAGTTCGTGCTCATTAAGTGTATGCGTGGAATTCACTATGGCGCATTTACTAAAACAGTACAATTTTTAAACTGTTGAAACTTGTCATCGTTTGACTAATATATTATTCAGTTCATCATCAACTTTCGTAAATATGGAACGCATTTTAGTACCTATAGGAGATGAATATAGATAATCAGTACAAACGTGCTCTGCTACATTTTTTATTTTCGTGTGGTGAATCTGCCAGGTTTGCAGCGATAAAAATTAATAGTGTACATGGTGAACACACTATTAGTGTAAGGACTGCCTAGAAATGGTTTAAAAAATTTAAAGTTGGAAAAAAACAGCATTGATGATGAACCCCGTTTCAGGACGTTTTGAACTGTTAGAACCAAATCAAACGATTAATTTAGAAGTTTATAGTGAACAACTTTGCTGTCTAAACTCAGAATTGATCAAAAACTCGCCCACGATTGGTGAATATCAAGAAAGTGTTGTTTTCATCATGATAACGTTAGACCGCATACAGCTCGAACAACGCTGCAAAAAAATTAGTGAATTTAATTGGGAGCTTTTGTCACATCCTGCTTATTCCCCAGATATTGCTCCAAGTGATTTTCACTTATTTCGTGCCTTACAAAATTTTTACTGGGAAAAAATTAAATTCTAAACAGGATGTACACAATGAACTTTCAAGTTTTTTTGCAAAAAATGCGTACGAATTTATGGGCTGACCCAATACTTCTCGAATCTCGAAATTTAAATTTGAAATTCGTTTTTATTTATTTCATATTTTGAACGAATTTAATTGAAAAACTCAGCTATTTAAAAGCGAGCAGTGGTAATACTTCTCAAAATAAAAAATTTTTATCTCCGATGCGCCAGACTGTTGCCACTCGGCAGAATATAAGATATTTATCTTGCAGTTTTAATCAACAAACTCGGCTATTTAAAAGCAATGCGTTTCCATTGCCTGAAAGAAAAAACTTTTATCTCCGATACGCCAGCGTCTTACCAATCAGTAAAGCATATGCATTGGATATTTTGCTCAGTAGTATTAAATAGAGATGGGAAATCTGCGTTTGAAATTTTGAAATTGTTGCTATTGACATGTTTCGAAGCGTCCATTTTAGATTTGGCTGCTTCTCTGGCTTTTAGAATATTCTTAGGATGCTTTCCACAACCTTTATACGAAGAAATGTGGCCTCGACCGCATAGGGCGCAGGCAGCAGGCTTTTGGTCTCCTTTTTTGTGCGGACAAATGTAAGTTTCATGATGCTTTGCACATTTTTAAGCATCGAGCAGCATAGTGACAGAGCTCCCATGTGTGCCCGTATCTTTGACACTTGTGGCACTCTGCAAGAGCCCAGATTTTGATTTATAAGTTGCGATGAATACATCTAATCCTCTAAGTTTATCGATATTATAAATTCTTTTGCCCTCTATGGAACGTTTTCACTCTACTTGGAAAAGAGGTAGTTTCAGTAAGTTACCATCCCTAACAGATGTGAGTTGACGTAATTTAAGTACTGGAATTTCCTTGATGAGCTTCTGTTTGATAATATCAGGGTGTTTTTTTTTTTTTTTTTTTTTTTTTTTTTTTTTTTTTTTTTTTTTTTTTATGACGGCTTTGATAGACTTTTCATTATTTAATTTGAAACTATGGAAAGGAACTCCACGCGTTTGTTGTAATTTTGTGTTAAATCTATAGTGATCATTTTCGTATACTCTGACGGTAAGGGTTTTTTTTCTTTCATGTTAGCTTTATACTTAGTAATGTTATTACTTTCAATTTTTTCTTTTAATGTTTCCCAATTTACACTAAAATCATCTAGTACAATTAGGGGGACATGAACTTTAGATTTAAGAGGAAACAAATCTTATGCAATATCATCATCCATATGGTCTTCCTGAGCAAGTTTAGAAAATTTATTTGATTGTTTGGATAGATGTTTGGAAGAGATAAGTGGTTAAAACCCTAGGGACGTCAAATTTGACATTTCACCCCACTTTCCAGCCTGGAAAAGGGGGGAAAAAGACATGGCCACTAAAGTGGACAACACCGTCTTTTCAAAGAGAGAACTGTATGGCCACTATAATGGCCATCCCGTCTTCAAAAGGCTAAATGCGCCAAACATAATTCACTATCACACTAAATAGTCGCACTAAATATTAATATCCATTTTGACTGATATCGAATGCACTTTAACAAAGTTTTTTTGTCACATCTGAACATAAGAACAGAATTAAGGGCTCTTTTTCCTAAAACGGATTCTAAAATGGATTTAAAATACACTGCCTTCCAAAAGTTAAGGAACAATACGTTTTTGGTGTCTAATTTGAGAACGAAGCAACGTAGAAACAAGAAGTGTAGCGGACAATATTTCACTAAACAGTTCTTTAATGAATGTGACGTAGAATGCTTCTTAAAAGCCCATATCACACGGCGGTTTGTTTCGGACAACTTTTCTGCCTGGTTTTTAAGATCAACACAAACAGGAATTACAACAAAAAATTGCACTATTGGCAGAGAAAATTCAGTCTTGGAGAAACAGTATATCATAGTTTTTCGAGGAAGAATGTGGTAGTAACATTACAAAAATGGGTTCTAGTAAAGAATATGTTCACCTCTAGCTGCAATACATTGGCGGCAGCTACGTTCGATACTGCCAATTAAGTTGTCGGTCAGTGAAATGTGAATCAACGACCAGACACGAAGTAATACTTGTTCAAGCTCATCTAACACCTTAAAGGAGGATTTAAAGCATCAACCTGTATCCCAAGGTAGTCCCATAGATGCTCAATTGGATTCAGGTCTAGGGATTGATCTGGCCATTCCACCCGCTCCATACCGTGACCCTCAATATATTCTTCATCAACTCGAGCTCCATGCGGTCTCGCATTGCTGTCCATCAGAAGAAATCCAGGAATAATAGCAGCGGCATATGGGCAGACATACTGATCAAGGATCTCCTCAGTATCTCGCAGCGGTCAATGTTCCTTCATGGAAATATGCAGGTCAGTGTGACAACCGAGAGAGATCCCAGCTCAAACCATTATTCCACCGCCTCTGTAATTGTGTCATTTCACAATTGGTTGTATCTGGTGCGTTGTACCCTCCAGATCAGCTGATGACCTAAATTAATATGAATGAGAACCTGGACTCTTCTGTGAAGAGAACAGAAGCCCATTGTTGAGTGGTCTAGGAAACGTGTTCTCCTGCCCAACATAAACGGGCAGCTCTGTGTCCTCGGGGCAAGGGGACACAAACAACTCGCCGTCTAAAGTACTAATCACATTATGTAGCTAGGTTACCATTTTCACTTACTACAAAGACTTGAACGCCAAACACTAATCGATTATCGCTCAGATTGGGATCACGTGAGGCTTCAGAAACAGACTTTCGTCTGATTGGTTGTCTCTACCCGGGACTGAGATCCAACCGAGACATTTTCGGTGAGGTTTGAAAAAATCCTGCGTAACCGTTTGTAACAACATTGTTTCCGTAGCTAGGCGGGACTTCGCTTCAGGCGGGCTCTTTTTTCCAGGAAGCCTCCCGTTTAAACCAGTGCTACAAGAAATTCGTTTCTCAGAAAAGTCCCGTCTAGCAGGGACTGTAGACATGTGTGACAACTTCTTTACATACAAGCCTGTATTGTGCAGGCGTCCTCTCACTGCAATAGCTGAGATTCTTGTTCCTGTGAGCACTAAATGATCTGCCATGAGCTCAGGCACAGTAATGTCGCTCCTCCTTCAGGCCGAAAGAGCTAAATAACGGTCTCCCGCAGGTGTTGTAACTCAATGGTCTGCCCGGAACATGTCTTCTAGACACAAAATCCTCGGTTTCAAACTGATCCATAGTCGCTGGACTACACTGCGAGAGACATTGAGACATCTAGGAGCATCAGCTTGTGACATCCCCATTTCCATCCATCTGATCGCCCGCGGCTACCTCAACAAATCGGGCAATCGACTTCTCGTGGAAATTGATAGCGTCTCCTGGATATTGCCAACGAAACTGTTAATAACAATTAACTGTCAATACACGTGAACAAAACTTGCAATTTTTGCATTTTTCTTCAATTCTTACATAAGTATTCATTTCTATAAAAAAAAAAGTGCTAGCTATTGTTTTTCCATATATTTTCTTAAAATTTGTTACTCTCATGCAAATAAATTGTGAATTTAAATGTTACTGATATTTTTATAATGATGAGCTTTTAAGAACATGCTGTTCCTTAACTAGGAGTTCTTTAACTTTCGATAGTCGTAGTGACTGAGGGTGAAGACTTAATGAAGTAGCTAACGGAACTGAATTGAAGAATCACCATCTTTATTTTTACGCATATCAAATCCTCTTTTTGCAGACAAGATTTTTTTAAATCATTGTTGAATACAATGAATTTTTACTGGTTTAAAAGGTACGATGTAACCATCTTAGACAGCATAAGCAGAGAAGATTTGTTAATACGGTAGAATCTA